AACATTTCCAACTAAAGATCTAGTTAGAAAGATTCTACGAAGTCTTCCTAGAGAATGGCTACCTAAACGAACAACTATAGAAGAAGCAAAGGATTTAAATGTTTTATCAATTGAAAGGCTTGTTGGTTCTCTACTAAGTCATGAGGAGGTTATCGTTCAGATGAATAGAAAAGATAGCAGAAGAAAGAAAGTAATTGCTTTCAAGGCACAAGACTTTGAAAGTGAGTCAGAATATGAAATAGGAGAGGAATTTGAGAGGGAATTTGCCATGATTAGTAGAAAATTTCACAAAATGCTAAAAATGAAAAGAGACTTTGATGATAGAAGGAATCGTGGAAGTTCAAGACAGAATAATCACGTTTATGAGTCAGGAAGGCGTCGAGATGGATTTGAAAAAACACAAGGTCGGAATTCAGATAGAAATCTAGGAGGTAGTGTTCAAAATCATGACAAGAGTCAGTTCAGAAAATTGGACAAACCAACCGAAGATCGTGAAAGGTACACTCAGGAAACTAAGGAAGACCATAGGTCTTCCGGTGAGAAGGATCTAATGATTTGCTTTAAGTGTGGAAAGTCAGGTCACATGAGGTCGAGATGCCCTCTGAATTTAAAAAGGCAAGAAAAGGCAATGGCGGCTTCTTGGAGTGATTATAGCTCTGAGGAGGATACTGAAGCAAGAAATCTGGCTTACATGGCCTTTGCCACCAAAGATGACAATGAGTCAAGCTCACTAGCGAGCTGTGACCACACACTTCCCTCAGGCTACCAGGTAATATCAGACTCAGAATCTGAAAAGTGTGACTTACTTGAACCAAAAAACGAGTTTTTGCATGCTCTAAGAAATCTTCAGGAGGAATGTAATAGACTTAGAAGTAGGTACTGTTTACTAATGACTGAGAATCATGCTATGAGGAAGGAACTAGGAAATCTTAAAAGAGCTGTGTCATTCCAGCATGAGAGTGAAATCAAACTCAAAAACCAAATTTTGAACTAACTGATGAGAATCATGAGTTGAAACAAGATCTTAGTGACTTGCATCAATTAAAATTTGGAAGTCTTAGCACAAAGAACAAGTCTCACTCACCAAGAAATACTTTTAGAAATGCTGAGCATGATAAAGGAAAGCATCATAAGAGAAATCAAAAGTATGCAGAAGTATATGTGTGTTCTTACTGTAATCGAAAAGGTCATTTAGCAAAGTTTTGTTATGACTTGCAAAAGCCGAAGAAACATACTGTTTATAAAACGTTTTGGGTACCAAAATGTACTAATCTGTAACTGATTGCAGAAGCAGGGAGAAAAGGAAAACATTTGGTATTTGGACAGTGGGTGTTCTCACCACATGACAGGTAGAAAAGAGCTGTTTTCTTCACTGAGTTATAGAAAAGGAGGTAAAGTAGTGTTTGGAGATGATAGGGTTGGTAAAATTCTAGGGAATGGGACTATTGGTAAGAGTCCCCTTCCAATTATTAAGGATGTTTTACTTGTTGAAGGTCTGAAACATAACTTATTATCAATCAGTCAGCTTTGCTCCTCTGAAAACAGAGTCACGTTTGAAGCTCTATCATGCAAAATTTTCAGAATCCATGATAACAAATTGTTATTTAGCGGTGTAAAGAAAAACAATATGTATGTTTTCAACTTGAATAACTTGGAAACCTTTAACGAAACATGTTTTCATGCTGCATCTAATGAAGTAGACATACTTTGGCATAGGAAACTAGGGCATGTATGCATGTCAAAATCTGAATATGCTAGAGGGATTCCTTTGTTAAAAGATAGGCAAGATTTTTTCTGCGATGCATGTGCAAGTGGTAAACTAACCAAGAAAAGTTTTAAGTTAAAGAGTGACATAACCACTACCCGAGCTTATGAATTGATACACATGGACTTGTTTGGACCAAAAAACGTGGTAAGTCTTGGAGGTAAGTCATATGCTCTAGTTCTTGTTGATGACTTCTCACGTTTCACTTGGGTTTACTTGCTAGCTTCGAAAGATGAAGCATTTGCAATGTTTAAAATATTTGTATAAAAAATCTTGAGTGAATCAGAACAAGGTATCAAGTCAATAAGGAGTGATAATGAAGGTGAGTTTATCTCAGAACAGTTTAGTACTTTGTGCAATGATAAGGGTATAAATCATACTTTTTCTGCACCTAGGACACCACAACAAAATGGTGTTGTAGAACGTAAGAACAGAACTATAATAGAAATGGCTAGGACCATGTTGTTGGAATATGGAACCCCTAAATTTCTGTGGGGAGAAGCTGTCATGACAGCAGTGCATGTTATAAATCGTGTCTTAATAAGGAAAGGTTTGGAAAAAACTCCATATGAGTTATTAAAGCACAAAACACCAAATTTAAGCTATTTCCATCCATTTGGATGTAAATGCTACATTCTGAATACAAGAGATTATCTCTATAAGTTCGATGCTAAGGCTGAACAGGGAGTTTTTCTAGGATACTCTATCAAAGGACAAGCCTATAGAGTCTATAATCTAAGAACAAGAAAGGTAGAAGAGTCTGTTTTCGTAAAGTTTGATGAATCTGGATCTTCTGAGAGAGTAAATGCAGAAAATATAGACTTCTTGCTCCCCCTACCAACTGTAAAAGAAAAGGAGCTCGAAGATGAAGAAAAGAGTGTGAAGAAGCTTGAAGAAGAACAGACCCTTCAACCTAAAGAAAAATTGCCACCTGCTCATATACAGAAAAGACATCCAGCTTCTCAAATTATTGGGGATTTAAATGAAGGGATTCACACCAGAGGTAAGTACTGTCCAGGTCAGTATGCTTTTGTTTCTTTGTTAGAACCTAAGAATTATAAGGAAGCCTTAACTATAGATGAATGGTTGCTTGCAATGCAAGAAGAGCTTGTACAATTTGCTAGGTTGCATGTTTGGGAACTAGTACCTAGACCATTTAATAAACTAATTATTGGAACTAAGTGGGTATTCAGAAACAAAATTAATGAACTTGGTGTGATAACTAAGAACAAGGCTAGACTAGTTGCACAAGGATACCTACAAGAGGAAGGAATAGACTTTGAAGACTCATTTGCACCAGTTGCTAGAATTGAATCTATAAGAATGCTGTGTGCTTATGCTTGCTACATGAAAATTCCATTATATCAAATGGATGTTAAAAGCGCTTTCCTAAATGGAGAAATTAAAGAAGAAGTATACGTGAGCCAGCCCCCTGGTTTCATAGATCATAAATTCCCTGACCATGTCTTCAAATTATCAAAAGCCTTGTATGGTCTAAGGCAAGCACCTAGAGCTTGGTATGAAAAGCTAACCTCGTTTCTCATATCTGAGGGTTTCTCTCAGGGAAACGTGGATAAAACCTTGTTCATTAAAAAGGAAGGTAAGGACACATTAGTAGTACAAATATATGTGGATGACATAATCTTTGGATCAACAAACCCAAACATGTGTACAAGTTTTTGTGAACTAATGAAATCAGAGTTCGAAATGAGTATGATGGGAGAATTGTCTCATTTTCTAGGTCTACAAATTAAACAAACAGAAACCGGGAATGTTCATAAGTCAAACAAATTATATCAAGTCTATGCTATAAAAGTACAACATGAGCACTGTTAATATATGTCAAACTCCAATGGCAACAAACTTAAGATTAGATAAAGATATTGCAGGAGTCTCTGTTTGTGAAAAGAAATATAGAGGGATGATAGGATCTCTTCTATATTTAACTGCAAGTAGACCTGATATACAAATACAGTGTCGTTGTATGTGCCAGATTTCAATCTGACCCTAAAGAAAGTCATCTGAAGGCTGTAAAACGAATATTTAGGTATCTCAAGGAACAATTGAGTTAGGTCTATCGTATCCACACACTGATTCCTTCGAACCTTCAGGGTTAGTGATTCTGACTTCGGTGGAAGTTTAGTGGATAGGAAAAGCACTTCAGGAAGTGTGCATTCCTAGGGCCAGCTCTTGTGTCTCGGTTTAGTAAGAAACAGGGAGCTGTGGCATTATCAACTGCTGAAGCTGAATATCTTGCAGCTGGAAGCTGTTGTAACCCAAATAATGTGGATAAAAACACAGCTAGCTGATTATGGATTTAAATTTCAAAGTATCCCTGTCTGGTGTGATAATACAAGTACAATAAGTATTACAAAGAACCCTGTACAACATTCTAGGACTAAGCACATTGAAATCAAATTTCATTACATACAAGATCTAGTGCAAGCAGGTCATATAAGTTTACAGTTTATACCCACTGAACATCAGCTAGCCGACCTATTCACAAAACCCTGCCTAGTGAACGTTTCACGTATCTCTGTACCGAATTAGGATTGAGATCTTTTAGCCAAATCTAGCTTCTAAAAACTGGAAGTTGATTGGATGTGGCATTTTCTAGGACATTAGGATTAGGATTAAGTCTCTCTTCTAGCTAAATCTAGTTTCTGAAAGCAAAAACGCTTATTGGATGTGGTATACTCTAGGTAACCTTACTATCTTGGTTACAAAAATAAATTACTTTTCAGAATATGCGTGTAAATCTAAATTTTTCTCTAATCATTATGCTTCGTTATTAGGAGAAAAACTCTTCGACTTCCCTGCTGCCCTCTGCTCACATATTCTATATAAACCGACTTCCTAAGATCACTATTCCTCACCTTTGCTTCAACAAACCTCGAGTAAAACCCACCAAAATCTTCCCTGCCAGAAAATCAAATCTCCCAAGATGAGTGATCACCTGCCCCGACCTTTTCGATTCGAAGGGTTAGTGCATACTTATCCCGGGTACATGTTTCATGAACCCGTGGTGATCAATCATCATCGTCA